TATTTTCCACAATTTTTTAAATACTCTATGAAGGGGTATTCCGATGTTCATCAGAAAACTAAGAGTATGCTATGACTTAGGAATTTTTTTCTGGGTGAATAATTTAATTATTAAATATATTAATATATATATATATTAAATGTTTCATTTTTATTTTTTTAAAAACATTTTTATTTCTAATTACTATTTCTATATATGTTTGTACTGTTATTTTTTAAGAATACGAAACATGACGGAGTTTTTCCCTAAATTCATTCTTTTATTATCGGTTCCCATCATAGCTCCGAAGCTAATGGTCCCATTTTTTGGAAATTTTTAATATACTTCAAGTTTCAGAAAATAAACAAATTCTGATTCTGATCGAGTTATGATTTGGACCCAAATCGAGTTATGATCAGCAAGCATTTTTCAAGAGCTTAAAAGTCTGCTTAGACATTCATACGTACATATGTATTTGATTATATTTCTTCATAAAACAATTACATAATACTCTTAGAGCTCCATACTGTGATAAATAATTTTAATTCTTCGAATATATGCCGATTATCGCGTGGACTGCCCTTATCCGGGATACCATAAGGAATTCCACATAATTGCACAAATTAATGAATTCCATGAATCAGTTACGTACATACATATATCAAGAAAAAATACCAAAGAAGTTAAATTTTTCCAGAGGCAAAATTGGTATTATTTCATGATTTGTTAGTGTTTTTAAAAACAAAATATGACGTACAGCCCCGAAAAGGTAGACCCATAAATTTCAGTACTGCAGGGTACATTCGGCTATTCGTTACTAATACTAATGCTTTCAAACTATATTAATGTATTGAGTGCCGACCAAAGATGTAAAACATTTCCCCTTTAACTCTAACAATCTTTAATCTTAACTCTTTCATATTTATTTTTTTATTTTTCCGGAAGTTCTTTCTTTCAAAAGCAACTACATACATAAGTTTTAATAATTTTTCTAAATATTATCAATAACGTTTCAATAAAACCTACAATATCCTCTCACGGTAGAGTACAGAAACCGCCCAAGTGGTCCTAATTTCTTGGTTTTTATTTTGTAGTCTTTGGTTCGCTCTCCTGGTTTTAACGCAGTGTTCAAATTTGTGTTTAACAAAAACACAAAGGCACATGCACATCATACTTTGCGGCAGGAGGTAGGATGCAGGAGCCAGGAGGCAGTCGGGTGAGACTAAAAAAAAGGACTGCACGGAAAAGCGGAAAAGCGCAGAGCGAGGAGGTGCTTCGAGTTTGAAAAATGTGTGCGAAAAACGGCCAAAAGCTGGCGCATTGTGTGGCCGGCTGCGTTGCAAGTACACGAGTGTGTGAATGTGGCATTCTGGGCCACTGGTGTGTTGGCCAAATAACGACAACAGCAACAAACTGCCATATAAAAGTGGAATGGTGCAGCTGGCAAAGCCGTCAAATGTTGCAAAACATTTGCAACGCTTAAAAATTTAAAATACAAATAGAGGAGCCCGTGGCAGCCAGCCGGAGATAAAGGGAGTGCCACAAAGGGCACAGCTCCACCTAATGGAGAACAATAACTAAAGAGGGTTACTTGGAAGCCGCACTGACAGAAGCATTTACTGACAAAACAGGCACTAAGCCGCTTACCCTGAGCTGCACCAGACGCACTTTCTCACAAAACTATCTATCTATCAGATGAAAATACATAGATGTTTGGAAGCAAACCAACAAAAGGATTATTTGAGGAGAAGTATTAACTAAATGATGAAAATAATTAAATATTAAAACAAGCAAAGACTCTTTGGAAGAGTAGCACATTTCCCAAATTATTGCAGATATTTCCCAGGCAGTGAAAATTCTGGGAAAGCCATGTGTCAAATGGCCGAGGCCAGCATCGGTTTATAAATAGAACGACATTGCTCTTTTCCAGTTTTTATTGGGAAGGGGGGATCCTATTCCCACAGCTGCACTGCCGTGGCATCCACGCCAATAACAACAAACAAAAGCAATTATTAGCATAGTCATTAACATTGTTGGAGCCACAGCCAGAGCCGGGCCAAAACCAGAGCTGGAATCCGGACAAATCTCGCATAGCAGACGTGCTAATTAGCGAGGACCACAAAAGAAAATAGAACCACGGTTCAATGCGAAATCAATCCGGATGCGGGCTTGGGTCCTGCGTGGGTGGTTCTCTAAATAATCCTTTGGTGTGGATATATTAGATCCCCGGGATGCAAATTCAGTTACCCAACGACCCTTTTCGGGCGGCTTATTTGCCATTTTGCTTTCGTCCCGGCAGCAAATCATAATCATGGAGGAGCTGGAAGAAAGGACTCCCAGCCATGCAGCAAATCATTTAAGACAAGACGCCCTCTACATCTTCATCCAGAGGCCCTGCTTGGCCCTTGCTGTGGGAGCTCTTTTGGGTCTCTTTGATTGTCAGCGGGCCCGGAATAATGGCTAAGCCGAATGCACTGAGCATCCATCTGACTCTGAACTCGTAGTCGTACTCGTAGTCGGCATGAAAGAAATATGAACGAGCGGAGGAACGGCTGGATGAATGGCAGCCGGAGGAGGAAACTGGGCCACTCAATGCATCATCATCCTAAGCCGCATCAAACGAGATTTGTCGGAGCGAAGTAAGCAGGAGAAAGGCGTGAGCTAAGCCGAGACATAATAGATTGCCGTGGAGAATGGACCAGAAGATTAGGTCCTAGATCGGCTTTTCTCGAGGACGGTAAGAGCCATGAAATTAAATAAGAAACTGGGTCTATTCTTAGGGAATTGCAAGGCAAACTAAGCTGCAATATGGGTTCTAAAATAGTCAGAGTCTAATTAAAAAATATTTATATTAATAAAGACAGGTCCCAATCAAACACATTAGCTCATTGCTTCCAAAAAGCTGCTCTTCCGGTTTCTCAACAAATCCAAAGTCTAATTATAAGAGTATTCCATCAGAGGGGCACTCCAGGAATGCAGAACCGGACAACTGGTTTCCCGGCCAGAGCCCCAAATCAAACAAAATGACGAAAGCACCTTCTGCCATCCGGGGCAGGACCATGTTGCAGCAGCTCGAGTGGGCAATATGTTGCCAGCTGTTCAATGGGCCACTTAAACGACAACAATAAAAATTATTAGAATGCCAAAGGCAACTGAGGCAGAGGACTCGGGTAAGGACTCGGCCAGGACTCAGCCCTGGCCAGGCACTTCATAAATCTAGTAACGGCATATGAAATACGAGTATCCTGTGCTGAGTGCAGGGCCAATCATGTAGCATGCATCCAGGGGAGCGGGCACTGAAAGAAACGATGGCTTTTGCAGGAAGTTGGCCAGTATTGTGCAACCCTTTTGGTGAAAAAACTTGCGCAGTGCAGAGACAGACAGAGGCAACCTTGTTACTACTTTTTCCGCATGTCCTGGCCGCCCAGGACACACAGAGCCCCAGGACCGGGATGCACTCACACTCGGAGCTTGTGATTTATTAACAAGCTATCGTTTATCATGCGGCCAACAAAGGGTTAATGTCTGAAGGGCCCGGGCTCCACCAGAGTTATGCACCAACAGCTGCAAGTTGTGGCGATTCCGCAGCAATTGCCAATTTGCTGCAAGCCGCTGGATGGGGCACATAGGCCCTAAAATATCTGAGAGCCATCCAGATAAACAATCGCTGCGAGATAAACAAAGCCAGAAAGTCACGAAAAGTATGTGCCACACAAACAAAAACGCTCCAAGAACCAAGAAAGCATCCAAAAACAACACGGAGCCACGAGATGCCGCGGAAGAATGCCGCACCGATAATTTATGAGCGCGGCCGAGTCTATAAGATATTAAGATGCTTTCCCATTAAAGCGGAACCAGCAAAATATGCCCATAACTTATCTCGAAAATATTTGTTTTGAGCGCTCTTCAGCTTTTCCGGCGCGATCTTTTTTCGGGAAAGCGGAGCGTGTTGAAGCGTTAAATTTCCATGTGGGCGGCCGGTCAGAAACTGGTCAAGAAAAGCGGCCGACAGGGGCATGGGCCGGGGGGGAGAAGCAAACAAGTTGCAGGCTGGAAAGGAGTCGTTCGACGTGGGTGCCACTGCCAGAGCCGGTGACGGTGCCAGTGCCAGTGCCGGGCCAAGATAAAATGTTGACCAATAAATTTTGTGACCATGAACGAGAAACACAAAAGGCGAGACGAGAAAAGGAACAAAACAGAGGGTCAACAATAATAAACAAGAGCGATTAGAGGGAGGAGGCCGACAAATACGAGATGCCCTGCCTGGAAGTTCTATCCTGGAACAGGTTCTGGCTCCTTCAAGGTTGTGGAATGTTTTCAAAAATCAATCGATTTCTATTTTCTCTGAAAGATTATTTATAATGAAGCCTCTCCAACCTCTATATTAATTGGAATTCTATTAGAAATCTTGAAATCGACCATTAACTGACGTCATTCTATTCAAAAATAAATCGTTTTTTAGTTATTTAATGACTTGTTGGCACGTCTTAAATAATTATATTATTTTTTGAATAATAGGAACCACTAATTAAGAAGTTCAAGAGCTCACTAGCGATAAGACATTGCCGAGGCAGACATTTTCGCATTAAACACGCTTAGTCTTAATCTAATCAAGGCTATGACCTTTATCACCGTACATATATAGTCCAAGGACTCCCCTCAGTTAGGGTATTGGAAATGTGGAAAAACTAGCGCGACTTGTCCCATCGACAAGTTGGGGCCAATGAGTGTGATGATGCACGAAGGAAGTGGAAAGAGGAGACGCCAAAAGAGAGGCCGAAAGTGCTCCACAAGCGACATTCTCGCATGCGACTCCGCCGCCTCCTTATCTTGAAGCTGCATGAGCTTGTGCCCTGGCATTGGAGAGTGTGTTTGCTTGGAAATTTACCTGCAAAGGTGCCGCCGTCGCCACCAATTCTCAAGTTCATATTTATCTACACACCCGGCTCTATTAGTAATTAACTATGGTAATTTTGGGCCAAAATTGGGAAATAGTTTCAAGGGCTGGTGCTGCTTCTTACCTGTCGCATCAATGACGCACGCTGCCGTGGGCGACGCCGACGCCGGCAGAGGAGTTTACGCAGAAAACTCCCCCACTCTCGAGCACTTCCTTCTCTCTCTCGAACACAAACGTGTTGCGCTCACCAACACCACTGCGAAATTGCACAGCTGAGCCTGCCAAATGCAACGAATGTGAGGCGCAAAACAGAGGGCCCAAAACCACGTTGTGTGTCAATACTCTATGGCTGGCTACTGCTTTCGATCTTGGATTATTTGTTTATCTGGCCTCTGGCACGTGAATCGACATCGGCATTCCACAAATTCTTGCACTTCTTCGTTTTGTACATTTGTTTACGTCACTGTCACACACACACCTAAACACACACACGGCTGAACGGAAGGCGCGTAACGTGAGAGGAAGCGTAAGCGAAAGAGAGAACTGGTCGAAATTCGCAAATACCGCCGCTCGCTCATATAAACAAAATTTAAAATTACTTTCGCACTTCTCCCCCGAATCCCACGAATCTATCAAAAATCGCCTGGCTGGTGATGCGAATTTTGGCAGCTTTTGTTTCGCAGAAGCGTCTCGCGGGCCTCGAGCATAATACAAAATCGGAATTTCCACGCTCGTCCTCGCTGGCGATGAACCCAGAAACCTTTTCCGCCGATAAGACTGCGGGATTATCACGCGCGGCCGCCAAATTGTTTTTGTTCGCCAGACGCCCGCAATTGCCTAACGCACATTTTATTGCACTTTAATTAGTTTGCTGGCCAGAAAATCGTCCGCTGCCGAGTACCAATCGCGATGAAAACAAAAACAAAGTGTGGCCAGCGAGCGGATGAATCAGGTAGTGGGCGTGCGCCCCCCTTAAATCTCAGTTCTGGTGTTCTGGACCTAAGCTGAAACGGTCTTACTAATCTCTTGAGCAGAGTTTCCAAGTTTTGACATACTACTTATAATATCTTCATGAACCGCGATTTTAATAACAAAGGAATATTTTTAAAATCATAATTACACAATTAAAATTAAAATTAAAATAATTTTAAAATAAAGGGGAACCCCCTTGGTTGCCAGATATCCAGTAGTGCTGGTAAACTAGCAAAGAAACACCGGGAAAAAGCGAGCGAGAGGCAAGATAATGTGTGGGACCAGACTTCAACACCCTCCGTGCAATTCGTGCCCACTTTCCAACACTGTCCATTAAATGGGCGTAAAATTTCATTGATAAAAAACAATAGTCGAAAATTTCGAGTTCGGGGGGTAACTAGAGAGCGAACTGACCAGGGAGCATGGCGGAGCTGAAGGCCCCGTCGCTGCAATCGCTGCTGGAATCGGAAAGAGGATCCACCGACAGCCTGCTGGCGGAATCTTTGCAGCTGGACTTCGAGGATGTAAGTCACGGGCTACATGAAGTTACAAGTAGTTGACCGAATTTCCCTTTCCCAGCTGGATGATGCCGAGTTTGCCATTCCGCCCACTGATGTGCTGCCCACGCTGGAGACGGTGCTCAGCGAGTTCGAGGCGGATTCGGACGTGGCCTCCGAGCTGGGGATGCCGGTGCCGCATGCAACGCCCACGCCCTCGATTGGAGAAGACTCAGCCGTGCGGACAGATGGTCGGAGCGGAGGAGGCTCCATCATGCGATACACCCTGCTGCACGGCATTTCCGCCCAACTTTCTTCAGCCGCCGAACGTGTGAACGCCGGAGCCGCGAGTTCCTGTGCCGTGGCCGCCTACATAGCTGTGGGAACGTCCCACGGCCACATCCTAAACTTTGATGTCACCCAGACCCTGCGCTGGGCCCATCAGGACAAGCACGGACAGGGTGCGGTGGCCAGTCTGGCCTTCAATGCGGACTCCACGAGGCTTCTGGCCGGGTTCGCCCGAGGATTGGTGACCATGCTGGACACTCAGACGGGCGACGTCCTGCGCGAGTTGTTCGATGTGATAACCCCGAACACTGGTGTGCTGCATGTGAAGTGGACGTCCAGGTCGTCCTTGGCGTTGTGTGCTGATGCAGGTGGATCCGTGTGGTCCCTCAGCTTCACCCGGAAACTGGGCATTCGCGGCTGCAGTTCCAGGTGCTTGTTTTCGGGAGCTCGCGGAGAAGTCTGTGCCGTGGAGCCCTTGATCATGGACGCCCATGGACGCCACGAGCTGGATCAGTACTGCATCGTTGCCTTGGCCACATTGTCCAAGTATTTCATCGTCACCGTGCGACCCCGATTGAGGGTAATCAAGTACCATGTCCTCCAGGGCCCGCCAGACTGCCTGCCTTTGCTGGCCTGGCACTTGGTTCTCATCCAGGCAGCAGATGCTTCCCGCTCCGTGGATCCCGTCATCGTTGTGGGACGCGGAAATCAGCTATTCTTTCATCAGTTGTTCGTCTCCAATGGGCGGATCACGCTTCTGTATCTCCGCCACGTCCAGCTGCAGGGAAACCTTCTGTCCGCCCACTGGCTGGGCCCGAAGTGCGTGGCGTCGCTGGACACCGCGGAGATCCTGCACCTGGTGGATGTGAGGTCCAGCAAGGAGCTCGAGTGCATGGATATGGCCAATGCGGGCTTGGTGTATGGTTCCGCCCAGTTCAAGGGCCTGGCCACAGGCGGAAATGTCTCGCCAGCCTTCGCTCTAGCCGGATCCAACGCCTGTTACAATTCCGTGGTGTCGAGGGGCACGCAACTTTACGTCCTGGGCGCCAGGTCCCTGCACATCATTGGAGTGAGGACCTGGTCTGAGAGAATAAGCTACCTGGTAAGAATGGTGCGAGTAATGGTATGGAATTATTAAAAATTTTCCCCACGCAGGTCAAGCATCATCGCTGGCAGGAGGCCTGCCAGTTGGCCCTGGATGGCTACATCGCGTCCGTCGATCGCCCGCGGAAACGCGCCCAGGCCAAGGAGCGCATCGTTATGCTCTTCAAAGAGTACATAGCCAACTCCGCCCGGGCTCCGGACTACTGCCTCGGCTCCATTGTAAACTGCCTGATCACCGTGGGGGAACTGGAGCTCCTCTGGACACAGCTGTGGGAGAAGCTGGAGAACACAAGCTCCGAGCTGTTCCTGCAGCACATCTCCGAGCACATCGAACGCGAAACCATCAAGAGTGTCAACCCCGTGATTTCCCAAGCCCTGGTGGAGTACTGGTTGCAACATTCGCCGGCCAAGCTGGAGCAGCTCATCTTGAAGCTCGACTGGATGTGCCTGGACCTGAACCAGGTGCTGAAGGCGGTGAAAAAGCATCGGTTGTTCAGAGCACAAATCTACCTCAACACGCGAGCTCTCAACGACTACACGGCGGCGCTGACAGAACTGCTACCTCTGGTGACTCCGGAAGAGACGGATTTGGGGAACTGCCTGCTGGTCTATGTGTCCAGTTGCCTGGCCGGCAGGGGCTATCCCAGCGGAGACATTCCCGCGGATCAAGTGCAGCAGGTGAAGCACGACGTGCTGCGCTGCTTGACGTCGCAGCACTCCAAGGAGAACGCCGGAGACGAGCTGCCGTATCCATATTTGCGAGCTCTTCTCAAGTTCGACACCCGCGAGACGCTGAACGTGATTTCTCTGGCCTTCCAGGAGCGGGAGTTCAGCAATGAGCTGGGCTTCTCGCACCGCAAGAGGATCATCTATCTGCTGCTGGAGATCATGTCGCCCGAGGATGCTACAGTAAGATCTAGATCTGGACCTAGTGTTTCATGTTTGTAACGAAAATACCTCTGTTTCAGTGGGCGGAGATTGGTTGCTTGTTGAACTTCATAGCCCAGCAGATATCGATGCAGTGCCTCCCGCGAGACAGGCAGCTCCTCGAGCGGGTGCTGAGCCACCTGGCGCAGGAGGAGATTGCCCACGAGAGTGCCCGCCAGCACTCGGAGAGGGAGAGCGCCTGGCATGAGCTGCTCTCCTCCAACTGCCTGGCGGAAATCAGCAGCGATGAGGAGCAGCTCCGTCTGGCGGAAAAGGCAAGGTGCTACTATGTGGTGGAGTACCTCTTAGAGAAGCTGCAGCGCTACGACACCATCCTGGACTGCTACATCCGGAACGAGGCCAGGCACGAGACAATGTTCGCCTACATGGAGCGGCACGTAGCCAGCCCAGAGAGATGCATTTACGAACAGTTGAAGCGCCATATGAGGGCGTTGTTGGACATCAATCCGAAGGAGACCACGCGCCTCTTGGCCCTGCACTACCCCGAAAGAATCTACGAGCTTCTGGACAGCCTGCGAAGGGAAGAGCACCTGCTGTTCGTGTTCCTCAAGTGCCTCAACGATCGAAAGAGCGAACTGGAGCCCAGCCAAATGGAGATGCTCCTCGAACTGTACTGCAAGTTGGAATCCGCTGAGGTCGTGGAGGAGTTCCTTGGCTCGAATTCGGGGTACCGCATAGAGCAGGCCATTGCCATAGCCGAAAGGTATCACCTGAACCGATCTGTGATTTATCTGTACGAGAAGCAGGAGAGTTATGCGAAAGCCTTCGAACTGTCCATGGACCTGCTGAAGTCGGCGAGCGGCGAGGAGGCCTCCAAGGAGGCTCGGTATATATCCGCTTTGCTCGCCCGATCGGTGGAAACCCTGCCAGCCGCGGAGCTGGAGCGCTGTTGGTTCTCGTTACTGCAATATGTGCTGCCCCACCAGGAGCTGCAGTCCTTAACGAAGTCCCTGCTGCACGAGGCCTCGCAGCACATTGACCTGCACAACTTGGTCCAGCTGATCATGAACACCCGCAACGTGTCGAGCAGCTTCGGCGACATCAAGGACCTCCTGATGGGCATGCTGGACAGTTCCAGGCACAAGACGGAGGCCCTACGCGCCGCTTCGGAGGATCTGTGTCAAAATCTTCACCTGGAGTTCGCAGAGCGACATCGCCAGTCGCTGCGGGGCCTCTGGGTGACGACCACCAAGTGCTGCGTGTGTCGACAGCGGCTCTTCGACCGCACTGCAGTGCTGGTCCTGGGCGCTTGTGCCCATGCCCTGCACGAAAGCTGTCTGAAGAAGGCTGGGGATAACGTCGGGGAGTGTCCGCGGTGCTTTGAGGCTCTGAAGGAGCCCACGTTGAGTTTGCCACGACCAAATAAGAGCCTAATCAGCATATCCTCGTCCCTGGAGATGGGTGCCTTGCAACTGAAGGCTCCGCCCAGGCGGTTCTGCTAGGCTCGCCACTGTTTTCGTGTATATTCCATTTAATCCTCCATGTGTGTATTTATTGTATTGTATTGTGTGTTGTACTGTGTAAGTAAAGCAATTGCATGATGAAATCCAAAGAAGCTGGCCATGATTGGGATATGGTACAGATGTCTTTTAATATGATACAATTAGCGATATTTACAAAATACTCTTTAGATATACAGAACTAACTATCTCTCAGCCAAAATAGGTATTCAGGCCATCTGTGGCTTCACGCCACTCTCCGCCAGGAAGGTATTGTTGTAGTGCTGTATGAACTCCGTGCATTGTTCGGCTATCGGAAATAAATCATTTAAACTAGAAGGAAATGAAGGCAGTCTGTTGAGACTCACTCTTGGGGAAAGACAAGGTCTCGTAGAGCTTCAAATTTCTCATTTGGAAAAACCTAAAGACGCTGTGAAAGACCAAGTCATCCTTTGTCTTGTGGGCCGCCTCCAGGAACTTGCGGGCGGGCACCTTTTCCAAGCCCATCGAATTTTTGGCAAGTCTTAGGGCGTCTATAACTTTGCCTTGGCCCAACATGACCTCGATAATGATCTGAGAAGAGTTATAAAATATATATAACAATATTCAGTATTATACAAGTGTACAATCCACCTCATGCGCCTGAATCCTGCCCAGCATATCAATGGCCACTTGCGAAATAGCTGTGTCCATATCCGAGTTGGCCAGCAAGAAGCAAGCCACTGACTTCGACTCCAGCAACATGGAATAGCTGACCAACCGGCGCAAGGTGTCGAAGCTGCGGTTGTGGATCAGCTCGCGAATGATGTTCTTGCTCAGGTCCTCCTGGGCGGCAATGTTGAACTTGTTCAGCGATTGGAGGTACATCATTAGAATGGCCTCCGTGTAGGAACGGCGGGCGATGCGCTGGAAGATCTGCACCATGTCCAACTGGTCAATGAGGACGATGGGCGGGGTGGCCTGTTTCACACAGGAGGTCTTTACATTCGAGGGCTGTGCGGTTTGGCTCTGAAGCTCCAGCTGCACCCAGGAACTGGAATAAGTATGAGGAGCACACTATTATAGCCAAATAGGACACTATTAAAATATACCTACGCGTATATTTTGTTAATCCTGTTGAATATTGTCTCTAGAACCGGAAGTAGTGTACCCTTGTACTGGTCATCCATTAGTTGGGTCAGAACTTTCAGTAGCACCGGTTTCCCGTTGCTGCGCTGCAGCAGTAGTTCCGTGAGACGGATTCGGTCAGAGATAAGTTGGCACAGAGGCTCAATGCAGAGGTTCAGGTACCACATGCATCCTAGTTTGGCATCGATCACAATATTTGGCTGGAACAGTACCCAATGGGTTGAATCTGCAATGGATCACACGTAACAAAAAGGAAAAGCCTAAGCAGGATCAGCTACGTACACAACTCGCACTGCAGGATTTGGCCATCCGGCGACAAAGAGGGCAGTTTTAGGGCAAAGGGTTTGATGGACCGGCCCGGGGTGATGGGAGCATGGTAGGTTACATCGTTGATGACCTCGCCGGGCAGGGCGATGTCGAAGAGGAGGGAGGTGCCAGTGGACTGGTGATGCACCACAAACAGGTTGTCCACCGTGTTGATGGCAAAGCGCCCCATGAGACTCAATCGGAGAACATGACACTTTCGCGGGGCCAGGCCGGGACCATTGAGCAGGTGAACTTCTACCTCCATCTGGAATGTGGTAGGATTGGGCTGCAGGATCAACACCGCCAACACTCCGTACACCTGTCCCAGAGTCACCTTGCTCTCCTCCACTTCGCGATTTGGAGTCCCCACTGCAAGAAAGGCATTTGATCTTGAAGTTGTGGTATTCCGTATAAGCCTAACTCACAGTCGACTTTGGGCAACTTTGTGATAACCTTCTGCTTGACGAGAACCGGAATGAGGGCGTTTCCCTCGCTGGTGCACAGAAGAGCCACATTGGCGTCGCAGCACCAGGCGAACCACTTGATTCCAATGCTCAGGGACTTCACAGAGCGCACCTGTCGCTTCTCCGGGACGATGGAGAACACCTCCACCCCCGTATTCGAAATTAGGGCCACCTCGCGGTTGTGGACCCAGACGAAGCCGTAGATGTTGGTCTTCACCTGGTGGGTGATTATCTCCTGCAGAAGAGGCTGGTCCCCCTGGAAGCAGATGAACTCCACGGCATTCTCCTTTCGCTGTACTGCCAGGATTTGGTTATCCGGCGAGAATTTGATCGAACGAATGGACCCGCCTCGGTCGTTCATGCAAAAGGATATGACCGTGTCCTCGGTGTGGCCGGGTCCTTTTACAACAACACCCGTGGCACCGCCGGATCGAACCGCAAAGATCTGCAAATCGAAATGAGAATAAGTTTTACTTAATTAATCATATAACACAATATATTTCTTACCTGTTTGTTGGAATCATCGAAGAAAACATTAGTCAGCTGGCTAACGGCGTCAAACCTGATGGGATTCGGAGACAGCTCAATGTAATGAATTCCATTGGAGCTGTCCATATTCTATAAATACGACGAAAACAGTAATTCTAATCGAATTATAAATATTTATAAACAAAAGTAAATAATTATATTTTTAAACGCCCCAAAATATTATGCCCGTCAAAGTAGCTTCGCTCAGTTAGCATCAAAGTGGAACGGTGGAACTGGAACGCAGCAACGAATTTTTTGTTTTTCAATTATTTTACTCTTTAGCCACTAAGATATTTTAAATAAAGTCTAGAATGTATAAAACTCCCCACATTTTGAGAAAATTCACTTACAATTCCCCATAGGTTTTCACAAATATGAGGAGGACCATCGGGGAGCCGGAACTAGTTCACAAAACAAGTTCGTTTAACTAGTTTAAGGATATAGTCTCATGTGTGAGGTTGAAAAAATAGATATTTTTTTTTTTCAAATATTTCGATAGTATTGTTTATTAAGAATGTACTGTTAAAGTTTCAAATAAAAATATCAAATAATGACAGAGATACAGCCCATAATCGAGAGCGCGCCTACACCGAAAAGTATGAGTTTTTCGGTAGCGTCTAAACTTTAAACGCGTTTTTCACGGAACGACATTTTTGTGTGCGGCGCAGGGGATTCACAAAATTCTATGGTACCGATCTAGCTGAAATTTGGATATGTTGTTCTTAAAAGTAACACCTCTGTCCCGTACTAGAATCATTTATCTTTAACGATTAGTTTTTTTTTATCATTAACTTAATATACATTTTTTAAATTAAAAAAAATTTTTTTTTTTTTTTGTTCGCCATTTTGTTGTTTATTGATGAAAATATTTCATTCTAGTACGGGACAGAGCCATAAGCTTACAAAACAATAATCTATTCTAATTTTTTGTTTCGGATGACTCTAGCAGTCGAAATCACCTGCGCCAGGGACCTACCTTTTTTTTTATATGCATACTTTGGCATGCTCTAAAGTGTATTAAACTACACAAGAATAAATGAAACAAAATATTTTCAAATAGTTTATGATGCCTATAAAAACATATGTGAAAATTGAAACAATCACATTATTTTTTATTACAAAAAATTTTTTTGAAATAACCTCTAAAAAGTAGGCCGGAACATGAGACTACATCCTTAAAAATGTGCGGGCAGATTTCCTCTCCCAGCCAACTAATCATTCGCAATCGGATTCATAAGTGAAGCAATAATGAAGTTATAATGAAGAGTATAGTGAAAGGGTGATTTTGTATAATAGACATTATAATAATAACCATTCTAGCTTTAAATATTTATAAGATAAGGAAAGAATTGTAAAAATTTGTAGAGCTTAATGCACAATTTTATTAATTGAATTTCCCTACCAACTTTCGGAAGTTTTTCACCGAATTTAAAAACAAAGGAGTCTTATGAGAGAAGTCTGAAAACTTTGCGATGAAATTCCTTCATCCCGAAACACCATTCTCGCAGAACTGAGCGAATTACGAAACTTCTTTAAGGAATTAGGAACAGCACGACCGAACTCGATAACTCACGCGAGTATCGATATAGCGGAGGTCCATCTCCAGTAAATAAAGACATTCGCCTAACCACTTCGACAGCAACGTCCGGCGCTGCTGCTACGTCTTTGCCACATTCGCTTCTTTAACATTTTCTAGTTTTAAGTATATGTATGTATATATTATTAAATAAATACTTGAACATTAAAGACTTTTAAAAGACAAATATACTGATATTACTGAGATTAATAATATTTGTCAACAAACTATAGTTCCAAGAACTATTGATGATAAATTGTCTTGTGTTGAGGAGCTTTTCGATGTGGTTTCACTTCACGGCCATGTGACGGGCGAAATATTATTTTATACTTTTTTTTCGACGATTTTAAATAAGAACAAAATTTATAAATAAAGTAGCGTTTGTACAGGTGGTGTAAAATTTATGAAAGGTAAAACCAAAGAACTTCCTGGTATTAAAAAAAAATTTAATTTTACGTCTATTTAAACATTTATTTTACTTCCAGGAAGCTCGTTTTGCGAAGGATTTTAAAATTGTTCTTGTAATGCATACATGCGTTAAAATAATAAATAAGATAAGAGTCTGTCATTAGTCATAGAAAGTTTAAGTGATTTTTAGAGGAGTTTACAATTTTCTTATGTATAAGATAATGAAATTAATTTTTGGGAATTCTATAAAACTTTTGGATTTGCATTGACGGTAAAAAATATCCAAATTTTAAGAATGAATTCTATAAAGTTATATTCCATGTTTGGGACCACATATCATTGTGAGACTTTAAAAACCCTTATGAGTGACAAACACGGTTCCACGGTTTCAAACCCATCCACGGTTCCTTCATCTATGTCAGATGGACCTTGGAAAATGCAAAAACATTATGGCGCCGTCCGTACTTTTCCTGACGAAGATTGTGTCATCTGTCAGGAGCGCTATGTTGGTAGCTAGGAGCGCTTCAATTTAAGCACCATGCTGTACTAGGTAATTTGCCGGAATGGCTGGTATCATCGCCATTCCCTCCAGTCATATGTCAACTTGGCCGAAAATCTTTTCAAATGGCCTTTGTCGATTTAATCAATCTTTTAAGAGAATCGAAAAATTGATTACAATTCATTCGAGTCTAGTCTAGTCTTAAGTCACGCAGATAAAAAAGAGTGTGCATTAAAATATTTGTGTCTGTCAGCTTGTTCGACGGTGGAGCTTCCTTGAAGGAGCCACTGGGTTTTAGATTAATAACTCATCCCAACTTGATTTGTTTGATTCACCGCCGTGCGCTGCTGGTTCACACTATGCTGTTTCAACCCTGTGAACGACTTCTAATCTCAGAGAAAGAGTACACCTACATACATACACTGTATTGTTAGAGTAAGAAAATTATAAATAAGAAATTTTTTATAAAATGATAAAACAGCAAAAAGATCTAAAATAACGAATGCCGCAGCATGAAAAGAAAAATAAAAATGGATTATAGAAAAACATCTTAAACACATATTCGCCGTCAACGTACATACAAGATCCAAAACAGTAAAAAACAATAATATATTAAAAAAAAATAAGTACCAAATTTTAAAAATTTTTAAGAAAAAAAAATCTAAAAGCAAAGTTGAAAACGTCAAAGTTGAAAACCCAAGAGCGATTAGATACATTCGAGTTTATCAGAAAGCATTTTTATCTTTTTTGTGATGACAGTAGCGAAGACATTAGATTTATTATGTGCTTTACAACAGAAAAAAATTATTTAAAATAAAATCAGACCCTTTAAGAATTGACCAATTTTTAAAATAAAATGAGAACCACAATTTTAAAATTTTTCAGAAAACAATCTAAAAGCAAAGTCCTCGAGGTTGAAAACCCAATAAGGTGGGGTTCCTTCGATTTGATGAGAAGTTAAAAGCTAGCTTTTAAAGGCGTTATAGAAAAAAAAGTAAAATAACCTTTCAAGAAATTGATGAAAGGAAAAATATGTTCGCCAAAATTATTAAAAGAGGCTCAAAAACAATTTCAAAGCAAAAGTGGCAGAGTCCGCAACTTATTCCTGGAATCCAAAAGGTTTGCGGTATCACGCCGGAAGATTTGCGTGATGAAAAAAAAATTATTTTAAATAAAATCAGAACCTTTAAGAATTAATAAAAAAAAATTTTTATTGAATAAAATGGGAACCACAATTTTAAAATTTTTTAGAAAAAAATCTAAAAGCAAAATCCTCGAAGTTAAAAAACCCAATAAGGTGGCGTTACAGAAAAAAAATAAAATAACCCTTTTAAGAAAGAATTGATGTAATGAAACGAAGTCGTCGAAGTTAAAAACCCAATGAAGTGGGTTCAAATGCGTTATAAAAAAAAATATGTAAAATCAGAACCTTTCAAGTAAAAATTGATGAAATAAAAAATATGTTAGCCAAAATTATTAAAAAAGGCTCCCAAGAATCAGACAAAATAATACAAAAAATTAGAAAATAAGCCCCTATTTTTGCTCCCGGTAGTTGTTATAGGCCGCAAGACCCATACCCGACTGAGCAAAAACCAATATGCTGGCCTATTTATATAAGAATCCCTTACAAAGCCTAACAAATTTTAATCAATGTATTTTTTTTTTAGGTTTGGTCACACACTTTCGTACCACATTTTGGTATGCCTTGGTCACTTTAGAATCAAGCATAAATCACGAAAAATCATTTTTATTTTATTTTTGCTAGGGTTGCGTTTTCAAAGCAGTTATCACTAAATATTCCATTTATTATTCTAATGTGTTATGGTTTTAGATTACATGTGTAAAGAACCAGGGCTTGTTCAGTAAGGTTGGGAAAACCTTACAATAGCTCTGGGCTTGCTGGCAACGAATTCGGCATACTCTCTCTCCCATTCCTTCTTGATCATGTTGTGGATGGCTGATGTGGCATCTCTGATGCTCCAGGCTATGTGAGTGAAGGTTCCATGGAGTGGTGAATTCTTTGCTGCTAGGTCTACGAATTCGTTTCCCTCTATGTTGCAATGACTAGGGATATTGTGAAGTTCCACTAAAGGAAGCAGGGATTGGCCAAAAATTTTTTAATTTCGTATACCATATGCTATATTTCGCATATAGTTGACGTGGGATGGTTTGTTAAGCGCAATTATACTATTTTTCTGTTTTTTAGTATAGCTAGACGAGATATTCCTTTGTTTATGTCATAGTCAATTGTTTTGTCGATGGCTATGAGCTCCGCTGAAAGCGACGAGAGAATTCTGTTTGTGTAAAATGATTCCCAGTCACAAAATGACACAAAGCTGCGCTTGTGTGTTGGTCAGTGACCGATTCGTCTGTAAAGAAGACGGTCCTCTCTTTCTTGTATAGCGCTTCTAGTTCTCTTTCTTGTATAGCGTAAAGTTTTTCTGTAAAAATTATATTTATGACGTCTGTATTTTGTTTGTGGTGTGTTTGTTGTGGGTCGATCCTTTAAAAAAGTCGGTATGTGCTGATATCTTTGGGCAGGTTAGTGGTGGTGAGTTCGATATTCTGACATTTTCGATGATGTTTCTGTATTTGGAGAAGCTCTTGGCATAGCTAGAGTTCAATTCTGTGCCTGTGGTAAGACTTTTAGTCACAGGCAAATGCAAATGCTTTTATCAAGCCTTTGGCCGTTTGGAATTGTAACCTGTCCTCAGGCGGTAAT